ATCTCACCTATATGGAATTCTTAATTACTAAAATAAGGATATTCTTACATTGATGAAAACTCTGGTTATTTGTTTTGGCCTAGATTTGCAGGTCTGAAAAAAATTAGCTCGTGACAAAATTGTAGATAATTAATTTTCATTTTATTTCAACTGGAGACTAAGCATATAAAGTTGTGTCATTTATGTTTCCTGCAGTTTAAAAAAAGTGTTCAAAGCAAGGATTCTGTCTTCTTCCGAGATGGGATTAGGCAAATAGATTTTGTGCTTTCCTATGTAGATGACATCAAGAAAGAAGGAGACATAAAGGTGGTAAGTACTTGGTGAAAGAACGAATAAAAAGAAATACATTCAGCAGTTTGAAATAGATGTCCCCATTGAATTATGTTCTATAAATTAGAGGTATCTGAAGTGATACGGAAAGCTCAACTGAATGAGATGACTATAGTATAGGCAGATTAAGATTAGAAGTAAGGTTTTAGTTGTTAAGTGTTGTCGAGTCGATTTTGACTCAATAACAACCTGGTATAGAGTTACCAAGGAGCAGCTTGTGAGTTTGAACCACCGACCTTGCAGTTCAAACTGACATTGCAGTCCAGTGCATTAGCTTGCAGCATCTCACCGGGAATCCTTTGGAAAGCAATATCTTTTTATTTTTCTTTCAAATTACTGATGTATTTCTTATATAGTTTTCTTCAAATACCAAATGGGACTATGAAATTTGAGATAAATGTTAGAATATTATCTATTTGTGCAATTTTCCTTTTGAAAATTTACAACTAATCCATATTTTATCTGAAGTAGCCTTGATGTCATGCTTCATTTTTTAAATTTAAATTATTTATTTTATTCCCCATTGTAAATTAAATTCCATGAGGCCAAGGACTTTGTTGTGTCTATTGCTATATACCTAAATGCCTAAGATAGTGGTTTGACCATAATGATTGCTCAGTAAGTGTTAGATATACAATAACGAATTAACAAAATTAATCTACACACACATACATTAACTTAGATATTTGCATCTAAAATGCTAGGGGAAAATTTCAAAGTAACTATAAGTGTTATCCCCAAAAGACTGTATATGTCCATTCCTGCCTGTTTCTTTTCCCCTCTCTTGAAAAACCCTTCTACTAAACCTCTGAAATTCATGGTCTATCATCATCATCTGGTAACATAGTGGGTTCGAGTTGGGCTGCTAACTGCATAGGCAACAATTGGAATCTACCAGCCTCTCTATAGGGGAAAGATGAGGTTTTCAGCTTCCGTAAAGATATACAACCTTGGAAACCCTACACAGGGTTTCTATGAGTCGAAACCAACTCCACAGCAAGTAACCACCAGCACCATCATCCTGTTCACCCTTTCTCTGAATGTCCGTCTCTTCACTGAGGCTTGCTGTTTCCCTCCATAGCCCTCTCAGGTAGTGGCTGTTTTTCCCTTGTGTAGTCTTCTCTTGAAGATGGAAAATACCCATCTCCATGTATCTAATTGTTAATTGCAATGCATTCTCTCTTTCCTTTCCTTATAATTCTTAACTTCTAAATCTCATTTTATCAGATTATTTCTACCCCGATTTGTTGCTGTCATCTGTTGAAGCATCCTGTGTTGCCCCCACCTGTTTCATTTTTTTTTTCCAGGATTTTTTTTTATATTTCTCAATAATTTTAGCTTCTAGCTTAAAGTTATTCTCTCCACTTATACTCTTCTGATTTTTTAAACTAGATAATTCCAGTGCATACATAGATAATTAGTTTGATATTCTGTTTCTTGAACTTTCTGTTTTCAATTATTTTAGCTTGTACCCCAACTCAGCCATTTACTTTCCCTTGAAACATATCATTACTAATAGCTGCAACCCCCTTGTAATTTTATTCCATTCTTAACTATCTGGCCAACTCATTTTTTTTCCAATCATCCCTTCAATCTTTCAGTTCCGCCAGGACCCTCAAAACAATTATTGTTTCATGTTTCATTGCTCACGGTCTGCCTCTTTCCTGATTCATGGTCCCTCATCCCTGATGACCCCAGTGGACCAATACTCTGTGTGATCCTGCTTGTTGTTGCTGTTAGGTGCCCTCCAGTAGGTACTGACTCAGCCATCCTATGTCCAACAGAACACAGCACTACCCAGTCATGTTATCCCCAAAAGACTGTATTCTTTGGGGATACATCTTTGTATCATCCTCAGATTCTTTGCTGTGTTTTAGCCCATTGTTGCAAGGTACTGTGCCAAACTATCTCCTTGAGGATCTTCCTCTTTTTCAACATATTGCATTAGGCATATCTGTTGCACAAGACCTTTTTAAAGTGTTGAAGAGCAAAGATGTCAGCTTGAGAACTAAGGTGCACCTGACACCAGTCATGGTATTTTCAATAACTTCATATACATGCGAAAGCTGGACAGTGAATAAGGAAGACCGTAAAAGAATTGATGCTTTTGAGTTATGGTGTTAGAGGAGAGTATTGAAATGCCATGGGCTGCCAAAAGAACCAACAGATCTGTGTTGGAAGAAGTGCAGCCAGAGTGCTCCTTGGAGGCCAGGATGGCCAAACTTCATCTCTCATACTTCGGGCATATTGTCAGGAGGGACCAGTCACTGGAGAAGGATATCATGTTTGATAAGGTAGAGGGTCAGAGAAAAAGAGGAAGACCTCCAGTGAGATGGATGAGCAAAGTGGCAGCATCAGTTGGCTCAAGCATGACAACAATTGTGAGGTTGGTCCAGGATCGGGTAGTGTTTCATTCTGTTGTGCACAGGGTCTCTATGAGTCAGTATCAACTCGATGGCACCTAACAACTACTGCCCCAAGCTTGATGTCCATTTCCAGGGACTTGTCCCTCCTGATAACATGTCCAAAATATATGAGATGAAATCTCATCATCCTCTCTTCTAAGAAGAATCTTGGATATACTTCCAAGACAGATTTGTTATTCTGCAGCCAGTTCATGTTATACTAATATTATTTATTCAGCATCATAATCTACATGTATCAATTCTTTGGTCTTCATTCTTTATTTTTCATCAAGTTTTGTATGTGTATTATGGTATTAGAAATACCATGGCTTTGGTCAGGTAAAGTGATATTTTTACTTTTAGCAACACTTAGAGATATTTTGCAGCAGATGTGCACAATCCAATCCATTATTTGAGTCCTTGACTGCTCCTTCCATGGATGTTGATTGTGGATCCAAGTAAAATAAAATCCTTGACAACTTCAATAAAATAAAATCCTTAACATACTCTATTTATCATGATGTTGTTTGTTGTTCCACTTGTGAAGATTTTTGTGGGTTGTTTTTTTTTATTTTTTTATGTTGTGGTATAATCCATACTGCAGGCTATAGTCTTTGGTCACCATTAGTATGTGTTTCGAGTCTTCTTTGCTTTCACCAGGCAAAGTTGTGTCTTTGGCATATCACAGGTTGTTAATAAGTCTTCTTCCAATCCTGGTGTCACACTCTTCTTCATATAGTCTAACTTCTTGGGTTATTTTCCCAGAATAAAAATGGAATAAATATGAAGAAAGAATAAAACCCTGTCACATATCTTTCCTGATTTTAAACCATGTAGAATCCCCTTGCTCTGTTCTAATGACTGCCTCTTGGGTTAAGTATAGCTCCTGAATGAGCACAATTAAGGTTTTGGAATTCCCATTCTTCCCAATGTTATTCATAATTTGTTTTGATCTACAAAATCGATTGTCATTCCATTACCCATAAAACACATGTAAACACCTTTCTGGTATTCTCTGCTTTCATCCAAGATCCATATGACATCAGCAAAGATATCCCTCTTTCCATGTCCTCTTCTCAATCCAGTTTTAATTTCTGGAAGCTTCTTGGGGATTCATGCTGCAACCATATTTGAATTATGATCAAAATGTTACTTGTATATGATATTGTTTGATAATTTCCATATTCTATTGATCACCTCTCTTTGGAATAGACAGAAATACATATCTCTTTCAGCCAGTTAACCAGCTGGCTGTCTTCCAGATTTCTTGGCATAGGTAGGTGAGAACTTCCAACACTGCTTCCATTTGTTGAAACAACTCAATTGTTATCACATCAATTTCTGCATCCTTGCCTTTCACCAATGCCTTCAGTGCAACTTTGATTTATTCCTTCTATACCATTGGTTATTGATCATATGCTGCCTTCTGAAATGGTTGAACATTGAGCAATTCTTTTATTCCATCCATCTTCTTTTAATGCTTCCTGTATTGTTTAATATTTCACTCATAGAATCTTTCAAAATTGCCCTTTGAGGATTGTATTTTTTTTCTTCTGTTTTTTTTTTTCAGTCTAAAAAATGCACATTTCATCATATTGCTTGCTTTGTCTTCTCAAGCTGTCCTTTGAAAATTTCTGTTCAATTATTTCACTTAATCATTTCTTCTACTCACTTTAGCTACTTTATGTTCAAGATCAAGTTTCATAATTGCTTCAGAAATACATTTTGGCCTTTTCTTTCTTTCCTGTCTTTTTAATGAGCATTTTGCTTTCTTTATGTGTGATGTCATTCCATAACACCTTTAGTCTTTTTTTTTTTAAGTGTTAAGTGTGTCAAGACTATTATTGAGATGGTCTCTAAATTCAGGCAGGATATACACAGAATCATACTTTGCCTGTTATTGACTTATTTTAATTTTATTCAGTTTCAGTTTGAACTTGCTTATGATCAGTTGATTGCATATTTTGCAAGTCAGCTTCCAGCCTTGTTCTAAATGATGATATTGAACTTTCCCATTGCTTGTTTCTACAAAGAGTTGATTTTATTCCTGTGTATTCCATCTAGTATGATCCACATGTAAAATCATCATTTATGCTGTTGAAAAAAAAGTATTTGGAATGAATATGTGGTTTTTCTTCCAGAATTCTGTCATGTAATAGCCTGTCTTTTCTATCACCAAAGTCCTGTTTTTCTACTGCTGATCCTTCTTTGTTTCCAACTTTCACATTCCAATCGCCAGCAATTATCAATGCATTTTGATTACACACTTGATCAACTTCAGTCGGATCCTGTGCTATTCATAAGAGGCTGGCTGATTTTTGGAAGTAGTAGAGCAGCAGGTCTTTCTGCCTAGTTTGTCTTCATCTGGAAGCTCCACTCAAACTTGTTTAGCATCATAGCAATATGCAAGCCTCCACTGATAGGTGTTTCTATATTCAGTAAATTGGCCTGGAAATGAACCTAGGTCTCCTGCATGGAAGGTGAGAATTCTGCCACTTAGCTACCAATGTCCGTTTCCTTATCTAGTTTAGTTTACAGGATCAATAATTGTAACCACTCTTACATATGCCATTAAGCCTTTTGCTGCTTATCTCTCTCAATTGTATTTATTTACTTGGAAATACTGCAACTCTGGTTAAATTCAACTTTTTACCTATTACACATCAGCACTAATGCAGAAAGAGAAACTTAAATCCCATGCACTGATTTGACATTATATCAGGCTAATGGAGCTCAGCTGAGTGTTTAATGATGTTTGGAGATCGTAGTTATGCTGCTGTTATTTGCAGTCTCCCACACTCCCCTGCATAATTGTTTTATAAATTCTTCCCTCTTACATCTCCAAGGAGTCTTGGGGTGGTGCTGTAGGATAATGCACTGGACTGCAAGGTCGATTTGAACTTCAAAGTCAATGGTTCAAACTCACCAGCCTCTCCTTGGAAACCCTATACAGGGTCACTATGAGTTGGAAACTGACTCGATAGCACTTAACAACAACATACCTCAAATACGTCTTTTCCATCTTCAAGCTTAACTGACCACACATTTCTACTTCACTTGAAAAACGGAAGCAAGGAGACAAGCTATAAATTTCTACTACTCTCCCTGAAAGTAGGAGTCCTGGTGTGGTGCTGTATGGTAAGCACTGGGCTGCTAATCTCAAGGTCTGCAGTTCAAACCTATCAGTTACTCCTTGGAAGCCCGATTCAAATCCAACTCAATGGCACTTAACAACAACATTATTAGAGTGAGTCAAAAAATATTGCTGCTAACGTTTTCATTTTATACATGCATAGGTTTATTCCAAACAAATCTTGTTTAAACATGTGTCTGGGATCAGTGAATAGCTGCAGACAAGTTATTTCAGAAATATACTTGTCAAATTTTAGGGGGTGCTTTCAAAAACACATTCAAACCTAAGACAGAGCCATTGCCATGCTGCAATGAGCTTCGATGACAGGTAAGATGGAGGAATTTGCACTGACCGCCTAAGACAGGCAGCATCCCCTAAACAAATAATAAATAAGGGGGAAACAGATATAGACCATGCAGACCCGGCCAGGAGTTCAAGGCCCTGTGGGCCCAAGTGTTGCAGACCGTCCAAACCATAGGCTCTGAGGATCAGACTTTAGTCACCTAGCAGACATAGCAAACTGTCCCTCATCTGATTATTCAGTTATGCTTGTTAGTAATCGCATACATGAGCCCTGGATATCCACAGATAAATGTAAAAACCTTCCCTAAAAGCCGAGACTGTAAATTCCAAAAAGGCAAAGTTCCCCCCCACCCCAAAAAAAGGAGAAAAGCCAAAGAGGATAGAGAGAAACACTGTTGACTGACGATGTATGGAGGGGATTGTAATCAACGTAATGAAACAAGTCATATGAATGGCTGAATGTGAAACTGATGATGTGTCCTGTAAACTTTCACTCAATCCACAATAAAAGCCTTATAAAAAAAAAAAAAACCACATTCAATCAAAACTGGCTTCAGAGGAGATTTGCTGCGCCAATTAAATTTATGACAAAGAGAGAACTCTCTATGATTATGGAGACTGTTTTTTGGAATACCAAAGGGATAATCTTGTTAGATTTTTTTCGATGGACACAGGACACTTACAGAGTCTTACTTTGAAAAAGTTTTAAGAAAATTGAAAACTATGTTGTTTAGAAAAAGCCCAGGAAAATTGCTAAGAGACATTTCCATCATGGCAATGAATGTATTCATTCTTCCAGGTTAGCAAGAGCTGTCATGCAAGAATTTCATTAGAAAACTTACACGATCCACCCTGCTGCCTTGATCTTGCCCCTTTAGACTTCTTTTTGTTCTTGAAATTCAAAGGAACACAATTTGAGTCCGCCAAGAATGCAAAAGCTACCATTTTTGTTGTAAAATGAAGAGAATTAAATTCTTTGAGAAAGAATTGTTGTTGTTATGTGCCTTACAGTCAGTTCCAACTCATAGTGACCCTGTACAGGGTTTCCGAGGGTGTAAATCTTTACAGGAGTAGAAAGCCTCATCTTTCTCCCGCGGAACAGCTGTTAGTTTTGAACTACTGACCTTGTGGTTCGCAGCTCGATTCGTAACCACTACGCTACCAGAGCTAGAGATGGAAACACCAACTTTAGAAATGTACTGACCTAGATGGAGGATATGTTAAGAAAATAATAGCTTCACATTTTGAGATTTTGTTTAATAAAAATTCCTATAATTTTGTAGCAACACTTTTTGACTTATGTCCACCCATCTATCTCTTTACATGTGTATGTATCATTTGACTTTCTCCCTGCTATCATAACAATTATGTACTCTCTAAAGTAAAGCTAACCCCCTCATGTATGAACTGGACCCCTTCCAGTGTCTTCAATACCACTTCCAGCTTTCATTCCTCACTAGAAGGACTCACAAGATATCATACTAGTGGGATATGAGATATTACAACAACAACAACAAAAAAAACAAATTGAAATCAGCAAAGGGAAAGGCATATGGGTAAATTCCAAAGGAAACTAGTTGGAAACTTCAAGTCCTTTCTGCTGATTCATCCAGAATGCACTTAATACTTCCAGTAATGATGTATAACAATCCATGTGAAATGTAGTCTTACAAAGAAACTAATTAGAGACTTGGTACCTAGGTTTTTATTGGCCTGTGATTATACCATCATCATCTGCCTAGCATGTACCAAGATTCCATCTCCCAGAAGGGAATTAGGTGTTCAGCATAAACAACCTTGTCCAAATGCCTTAGGCACAGTAAGGTACTCATAGCAGTGTTGGGAATAATAGGAACCCTCCTAAAATCCAAGTTCTCAGATGCCATGGAAGCTCCAATCTTGGAAGCAGGCCCTTCTATGGACAGCAGTCCCAAGTTACATTGATTCATGTTTTGCACATGTTCTTGAGAATATTGCTATAACAATTTGGTCTTTTATCCTAAATTATGTTTTGTGGTATTTGTTACTTGACCATATCCTAAAGACACAAAAACCCACTATCAAGAATAGATTCCTACTCATAACAATCCTATGTGGGATTCCCGAGAATACAGATCTTTATGGGAAAGATTCATCTTTTTTCAGCAGAGAGGTTGCTGGGTTTGAACCACCAACTTTGGTGTTAATAGATCAATGTCTAACCCAGAGTGCCACCGGGCTCCTTTCAACACACAAGTATCTGTTAATTTTCTCAACTCAAAAAGAAAAAATAAAAACAAAACTTTTGTTTCCAGAGTTTCCATATACTATTATTGCCCATACCTAAGATTCTGTGGTCCTATCTTGAAAATTGTAGCCTGGGTGAAAGACAGTATATAACACCAAGGTTTCAGCAATACATACAGTGCTTTTTTACATAACCATAGGAGGGGCAGAGGACCTCATCCAAAGGGATAACCATTATGTAATGAGTCTACATATTACTGGACAGAAATGCGAAAAGTTTTCTGTATAATTCTGTTTATTTATTTTGCCATAGGATAGAAGAAGAGAATTTGAAAAAAATCTCCAAAAAACAGGTCTTGAGTTGGAAACTGAAGACAAAAGGGTAAGTGTAATTGTTAATTTATACCAGAAGCTTGTTGGTTTTCTCTTTTTCTGGCCTTTGACATATTAGACTTCATGTTTGGGGGCAGAGTCCAGTTGTGGTACTGTAGGATAAGCACTGGACTAGTAAGTTCAGTGATCAGAAAACCTATACAGGGTCACTATGAATCAGAACCAATTAAATGGCACTTAACAGTAATAACAACAAATCAAGGGACCTCAAAAAATCATGGGAAAATTCCATTGTCTTTTAATTCCATTTTCCTAAGAACTTTTTGAAGCCCCTCATATGTGGATTTGAGATGGTTAAGACTTTGGTCTTTCAGGTATGTAGAACAGTGGCCTGAGTGTGAAATGACCAGGTGAGCAGTTTCAAAACAAAAGCCCATCATTTCTATCCAGAATAAAAAGAAAAATGAAGACAAAGTCTTTATTTCACATCTGCCTCATTTGAAGTCTGCCTGTAATCTGGCACCCCAGCTAGTTAACCTGGATAGCTTCCAGAAGAGCTTGTTATTTAAACAAAGACATTTTTTTTTTCTGTTGCATTAATATGCTAACTTAACTTTTTACCTATTGCCATTTACTAGTTCTCTAGACTTTCCTCATAAGTTGTTTTTTTAAATACCTACTTAATTTCCTGGCTGTCCATGAAACCTCTAGAATGCTTTAGTTCTGAATTAATAAACTCCAGTTCTTATTTATCTCACTTTTAAACTGAACTAATGAATGTGTCCTGGTGTCACACAGTGGGATAATGCACTACACCGCAAGGTCAGTTTGAACTGCAAGGTCGGTG